CAGAATTCATAAGGTGGATGTGCAAGGACGTTACTTCGGGCACTAGACGGACATTTAGATACTTACTAAGGAAACTGCATGCTACAAACGATTCAGAGTGGCCGCGATCTAGTAATCACTGTGATATGCTCTTGCGAGAAAAAAAAAACAATATTAGACTTTTATGATATTATTTCTTCTATGTAACAGGTAACACGTTATCAGAGCTGGCCAGGCCAGTCGACCGCGTACATGGTTGGCAGGATAGCCCTTCTAAAAAACAGAGATCATGCAAAAACTGCTTTGGGCAAAGACTTCGATCTCAAAGACTTCCACTATCAGGTGAATAACAAAATAAACATAATATGATACACATAACAATAATTTGGATTTATCGTCGTTATATGAGGGAGAGAAAAAGTATCTTTAATCGATTTCTCTTTTCCAGTGGGTCGTGGTTGCAAAATGCCAGGGCTTTTTTGTCTATTTATTTACTTATTTGTTGTTGTTGTTGTTTAGTCACATATCCTAGATTATTCCATTTCTACGGCTACATTTTCTCTCTTATTGGTAAAGGGCCTAAACATTTGCACACCTCATTTCTTTACAGAACTAAAAAAAATTGACAAATATCTGCTCGCACTGTCCAAATTAAATTCTTTTCTTTAACTTATTTCTCAGGTATTGAGTCAAGGTTCTTCACCACTCGCCTTTCTTGAAGAACACATCGAAAATTATGTCGAATGCGTCAAAGAACCCAAGAAGGAAGGCTGTTCTGAAATCCTTAACCCGCCCAAAAGGGAAAAGGCAAAGAGTAACGATGACAAGTCTACAAAGAATTTGCAGTCCTTTGAGGCCTACAGGCATTATGCTTGAAAAGAAGAATATTCCATATCTTGGTACATTGTAATACAAAGACTGAACGGAGAAACACGACACAAAAACTCGGCTTATTAGCCAAACAGTACATGCCATCGTCCTAAAGTGACGGCTCCTCATAAACAATTTATTTGCGGCGTTTTTTTTTTTTTCTCTGCTCCCTCGATATACTGCCCTATAAGTTTTGCTGCACCAGTAACCACTGCTACCATTGTTATTAAGTCATTACAGCCAATATATCTTCATTTTTCATAGAGGTACTGTTTCGTGGAGGAAATGTTAACCACCGCTTTGATTCACGGAAAAACGACTATGTTGTTCGCAGGGAATCTCCGCTTATAAATAAAGTAGAAGATAAATGAAAACACTTGACATCTATAATAAATTCCTTATCTTGATCACTAAAGTAGTGTTACAGCCTTTTGATTTTTCTTCTTACAAAATTCCTCAAGGACTATTATGACAGGAAGAGCCATGGTCTTTCCTCTTTGTTTCTTTCTGTTATTCCTTGTGCTGGATAATACGCGAACGCGTTTCGACTTACAGAGCACGCGCTTAGAAAAAGGTCCGATTGTTACGTCACTTACAACAAGCAGATGAGAATTTCCCTTGCGTTCCGTTTAGTACATTTGCTAAGCTAGAAAACTTTGTAAGCGAAAAGTACTCGCAATGGCTTCGGTTATCAGCGAAAGCTTTGTGGCAAGAGCAAGTTATCTATCTGATGAGAAGGAAAGACAGATCGACAAATTGCAAAGACAATTTTATGAACTTAAAAAACAATGTGACAAGTACTTTGATGACTTGGACGATGTTGAAAATATGTGCAAGCAGGCCAAGAAGAATATGAAAACGGTCCGATTGGTACGTCACTCACAACAAGGAGAAGAAAATTTCCTTTGCGTTCCGTTTAGTACAGCTTGCAAGTTATAATTACCCGAAATGGCTTCGATTGTTAGCGAGAGTGGATGAAATTCTCTACTCATTGACGAATAAGCTCCTCAGAGTTAAAAACTTTGAGGTTTTTCGTTTAACGCGAGATAAATAGTTGAACTGGTAAACGGAGTACTGACTGTGGATACAAATAACGAACGTAATTGACAACGTATAAAAGTCAGTTAGGAGAAATGTATGAAAAAAGTTGGAAATCAAGAAAAAAATTCAAATGCACTTAATGATCCTTTGGGGTATTGCCAGTGAAAGCACTTACTGATGACCCCGTATTCTTTTCGATTGGATTTCCTTTGTAAACTCGAAGAATGGCTATGATGGCTAACTAGAAGTACTGAACATACTTAAATTTTGTAAGCTCATGAAACATAAAGTCTCCTTGGATACGGCCGGTTGAAAAAACTGAAATATTTTGAGGAAAGTTGGATCTCGGCATGGCTTTTTCGCTTCGTTGTCACTTCAACGCCTAATGGCTGCAAGATGAGCTCGCATCCAAGAGATTTATCGTCTAACTTGCAGGCGACATATTGCTGGATATGCCTCTCGAGGAAACTCATCGGCGCAAAGCCTTGGTTGAGAATCTAAAATTGAAAGCAGAGTTTGTGAGTTTTCGCCCATAAATGTAATACTGATTTTCTAGGCACCCAAATAAGAAAAACGTACAATTTAACAATTACATACAGATATAAAATGGTGTAAGCCAGTCATATAACATCAATAGTCGTAAACGCAATAACAAAACGTATTTAGTTATAAACACTTCCATATTTTACCTGGTAATGAAAGTCCTTTAGGTCAAATTTTCCCTTGGACGTCATCTCTGCGTAGTCCTTTAACTTCCGAATCATCAGCTGACCAATCGTGTACGCGCTAGCCTAACCCAGGCCAGACTGGTATCGAGTTATTTCTTTGCGTGCAACATCGGACGTCTCCCAAGCATAATTGGCCAATAGATCCAGTCCTTCTCGGCGAGTCATGCCCTTGCTATGGAGGCCTGCGTCCAGTAAAAGACGGAGGGCCTGCCAAAGCTAAAGATAAGAAAGAAATAGAGCAGTGACAATACGAAACTGCAACAACGGCGGAAAAAAGTTTCAAGGCTGAGAACACCGACAACTTGCATACATGCAGTAAAAACCTTTATATGCCTTGAGGATAATTACACTGACAAGTGATTGCTCAATTTTGTCTCCGACAACTATTTGATGTTGTACATTGCAGTTATCTGTATTCATTTTTCGGGAAAAAATTTGCGAGGTTAAAAACCATTAGCTGTTAGTAAAAGAAAAAGAGTCTATCTAGCTCTTTGGTGAGTGTCTGTCCTATTAAACTAGGCATAGTTTTCAGTGTGCAAACTGTGATCAGGCGTCCTTTATGTTAAGTATTAACGACAATCTATGCTTCCGATGAAAGCATGGATCCAAAAGGTAAAATTCCAAAAGGATACTGTCTTGTTTATATCTTATACCTAGAAAATGATCTGTGAATACTTAAATAAGGCTACTTTTGTTAATTTACTAATGGCGGTTTTGTTTAGTGAATGTTTCTCCGCTGATTTTGCTTTCCAAATTTCAAGCTACATTTTTCTCAGAAGGGGATTTTTACGAAGTTTTTAGATGCCCCCCCCCCAGACTTTTTCAGTTTGGTTTTATCTATTTTCTACCAAATTTGGCTCAGTTACATATGGAAGGCTGCTCTAAAAACCTATCGAGGCTTTTTTCTTTTTGGTGAATTCAGTTGATGTTATACCAGATTAAACTCTATACAAAAGTATGCTGATACTATGGCAAAAAAATTTG